TTGCAGTGATTAGAATAGCATGTACCACGGATCCCTAATCACGACAGCGTGCGAATCCCAGAATCAGACGAGCAATCGTACGCCGGAATCTCCTGCCAACTAGGAAAAAGGTCACAGAAGAGCGGTTCATTTATTGGAAGACTTCAACGGGATTACATAATAGGTAAGTGGAAATATAATTGATCAAACGAGCATCAACCCATCGGCTTTCTCTTTCACCAAGTCACATGGCTTCTGTTTGATCCGTGCGGCCTTTGATTGGCTGATACTTTTAGTCTGTGAACCAGAAATGGGAATGCGTAGGCGCTTGGATAATGTCGTCTCGGGGGGTTGAATCACCACAGAAAATGTGGTGATTCAAGCCTACGAGTTGACGCATACCACGGAGCGATACGTTACAGTTTTCGGACAACTGTGATCAATCAAGCTTCATGGGTGACGTCAGTAATGCACATACATGTCACAGCATCTGGGATACAAACCATAGGCCGATTGTACCAACCAATCAGAAAACATGCGGCCCAGACAGAAATTAAACAATATTAGAAATTCTAGCACGCGATTGGTAGAAACTTGGATGACCAATAGCTTCCAATCGGGAGGGCTGTATGCACGTACTTCCAACATTTATTGGACTACTTGTGATCAGTTTCCACCGCTGAGCATAGACAGTCCGTAGTTTGCAGGAATGCAATGACACAGGTTGATTCAACCTCGTCTGGCGTTCAGCCCCAGGATGGATTAAACATGCTCAGCGACCAGGAGTACTTGTTTGCTGATCGAACAAATAACGACACTCCCCCCACCAGTGGAACGTTTTGACCCGTAATGCCAATAACCTGCACAGTCGTTTGGCGAGCCGGGGCTTCCCGACAGATAGATCGTAGCACTTGCTGTGGTTAGCAGTGTATACTTCATAGATATAGCACTCGGACTAGTAATTCGTATACGTATCGGATTCCGCATAGTAATAGTCCAACCCATGACTAAGACTCGAAACGAAATCAGAACACAGAACTCAACGACGGAATGGAACTGTAATAAGAGGAAATTCGGAATGTACAAGGAAATCTTGTTCAATAAAAGAAAAAGTTCATAGTTCATGAACAATCATCACAGCTTTTCAGTAGAAATCATAAATTCCGTATTTCCTTCTTGTTTGACTGATAACTGTGCGAGATTGCAGCAGGGTTGTTTGCAAACTCTCCGGATGTGGCCAGTTTTACCGCACATATGACACTTGGCATTGCGGAATCAACAAGTGGAGCGCAAGTGGCAGGCTCCACATGAAAGACACGGGTTGATATGTTTGTCGTTGCCAGAGGAGTCATGTTGTGGCTTCGGTGTGTGCTGGGACATTGGAGGTCGGGATGATTTTTTTTCTGTCTTTAGAATAGAGTGACTGCTTCACTAGAAGTCGCTTGTATCAGGTCATCATTGTGCTCACAGACCTTCCGTGCCTCTGCAAAGTTAGATCCTTCTTCTCCAGCAACTTCCGTTACAGCATCAAATTGTTTATGCCTACCACTATGCGGTCACACAATTGTTACTTCAACCGATCACCGCAGTTGCAGAACGATGCTTGTTTGTTTATTTGCAGAATGAAATTACGGTAGGTAACATTCTCGGCACGATCCAACGAAATGAATTTAGCTCTTTCATGTGCCTGGAGCTTAGTGGGCAGCAGGGGGTTGATCATCAACGACTTCAGGACTCGTATGGTAGTTTAGTCGGAGCATCGGGAAACGCCAGGCAGGCACTAGAGGTCACAGCCTCCTGCAGTGAGGAATAGGGTTCACTGGTCTTGTGCACCACCTTTGCGAATGCTGTACCACAATTCGAACCGTTCGACCCACTCCTCAATCTCGGATGGGCTGGCATGCAGGTTCAGTTGTTCAATGGTTAGAAGCTCCATGGTGCGACGCCAATTTGTAGTAACTGTAGTAATTGTAGTATGCACTGATTACGAAATACAAATTACGGATACCATGTAAGCACTGGATTACGCTGTTACCAGCACGACATTATCCCACATGACTGAGACGCGAGGAAAAGGCCACAGGAATAGCAGTTCCTTTATTGAAAGAAATCAAGAGGATTGAACTATATGTACAAAGCAAGTTCTCATTGGTCATTCAAGTCTCTGCCAATCGCGTGCTGGTATTTCGGGTGTTGTTCAGTTTCTGTCTGGGCCGCATGTTTTCTGATTGGTTGTTACAATCGGCCTATGGTTTGTATTCCAGTAACTGTAGAATGTACGCGGTTCGCTGACGTCACCCGTGAAGCTTGATTGATCACAGTTGTCCGAAAACTGTAACGTATCGCTCGATGGTATGCGTGATCTCGCAGACTAGGCTCACCACAGTAAACCAGGTTATGTTCCACCTTCACGATTCAGTATTCATTCCCAATTGAATCGATGAATTTGACCGCTTAACTAGTCCTAAAATAGTCACCCATTGTGCCAAGCTTTAGGAAGTTACAGTTAATGTTTTGTTTGCTTTTCTACAGTTTCATCAGAATAGAAAGTCATCAGATAGAAAATCAGAGAACATTTGTTATTGTTACGCAGTACAGAAAAAACAGTACAAAAAACTGTGTAGTAGTATCAATGTCATTTCCTAAGCGAATGAAGCCTGATTTTTAAGCCATGTTGTGTGATCTACGTGAATTCCAGCACGTGTTGATGTGATAGTGGGAATAGGCACGAATCACGGATCACGAATCACAGTCGCAAATGAAGCTCGGGATAACACCGGTAATCGTAGGCTGGAATCTCTCGTCGCCGAAATACATGAAAGAGACCTTAGAATTAGTGGTTACGCTACTGAGAGAAATCAACGGAACTGAATAGGATGTAAACCAGTCACGGTCCTGTTTCTCGGAATCACACGAATTCTGTTTGATTGGCCTGTACTTTTGGCCTGTGGTCCATTGTCCAGAAACCGGAACATATGGGTGCTTGGCTGGTGTCATCTCGGAGGGTTGACACACCACAAGTTGTATACGTATTACTGTTCCGGTATGAGTTGCAGTCCTTGAGTGTGCGTCCATTCTTTATATGGGAATGACGTTATTTATGAGATGGAATGATGTCCTAAGCGAACAGGAACACTGGGTAGCTGTTCTGTCCTTTTTTAGGACTCATCAGCTCGATCTTGCAGAATTTATTAAAATATAATACAATACAATACAATTTTGGCACCTCCGCGGAGATGTGAACGGCTTGGCGCGTACTATGGTGCATTTCTTCCTCCATTAACTCACTGAGTTGCTGATCTTTGTTAAATAGCTCAGTTCAAAACACAAGCAACGAAGTCATGTGCCCGCGGAGGATTGTTTCAGAAGAATGAATGCATTGACGCCACCGAATTCAAGCTTCACCGACTTCCTCGCACAGGGTAATAAAAACTCTACGGTACAGATTGGATCTGACCTGATCAAAGCTGAATATGCATTGAATACTCGTTGAAGAGTGTGTGAATCGTGATGCGATGCATTACTGTGGTAATCCTGACCTACGGGATACCGCTAGCCACGGAGCTACGCGTTACAGTTTGTGGACAACTGTCGTGATTCAACCTTCCCATATGACGCCAGCCAAGCGCATATAAGTTTCAGTTTCTGGACGACGAACCGCAGGCCGATCGTGCCGACCAGTTAGAAGTCGTG